GTCCTGAAATCAGTACCTTGCTCGAGTCAGTGCTACATTTGCTCTCTGAATATTAGAAAGAAAACCAACCGATCCACTCCCATTACAACGAACAGTGGATATAATTATCACATCCTCTTCACCACCTTGAAAACCATCAACAGAACGTACATTCACTGAGAAATCACTCTTAACATCTGTGCTATATCTCTTGCCAAGAATTTGTTCAATAGCAAAAACTTGAGCTTTGTAAGGAGATATACAGCCAACACGGACTTTGTGATTTGAAGAGACAGATTCTGTATTTCAAATTATAATAAGAGGCTTGGAACACAAACCTGTTGAGAATATTAAATTCTTGAAAGATAAAAGAGTATTACCTCTCTGAAGGTTTGTAACTATCTCAGCTACAACGAGAACTTCTGCCATATTTCACGTGCTGTGCTCCTCATCAAGCACCTCTTTTCCGCTACTCACATTGATGAATGAATACGAGCCAAAAATATCTCCTTTAAGAAATCTCTTCTCATATATAGCTGCTGTCACATTAGGACCATCCATAATTTTCTTCTCATAGAACTCGTTGTTCGGGAACAAACTTATTTTTGGATGCATCCTATATTGAACATTAAGAAGGTGCTTCTTGTGTCCTAATAGTACCAGCCTCTCGAATAAGCTCCTCCCGAACTCAGCCTTCTCACAAATCTGTCAACAACAGACACTAATTGTAAATTATGAAAGAGCACCAAGGTAATGAAAGAACATTCAGTACTAAGATTATTTGAAAACCTTGCTCTGAACCATAGCAGGCAATTGTTTCTCATCTCCGATGAGTATAGCATGGCGGAGACCAGGGAGTTGTAACGGAATAGTGGATTCACATTCTTTCAGCTGAGCAGCTTCATCAATTACCACCATCTTTAGTGGTTCCATTCCCCTCCTATGCAATTTTGATGAGCTAAAAGCAGTGCAGAAAATCAAGCAAGCACCTTTTAGACAAAATCTTCGAATTTGATAGTCGTAAATGAGTTTGGGAAGAGAGATACTCTCATTGAGAAACTCCAATACTTTAAGGCATCCTTTTTTAATTGCATACAGATAAGCAAAACGCCTCGCCTTATTACTTGCCAAAATACCAAGCAAAACTTCTTTGAAATCTTTGCATGTAACCACAGAACCAAACAATGTTTCAAGAGTTTGAAGCATCTTAAGAAGCCTTATCATTTCCTTAGCTACTTCTAGTGGAAGGAAAGAAGTAGGCAGATGTGTGTACAAGCTCGTCAGACAATACGTCAAGTGATTCTGGATCCATTTGAATCTCTTGATAACAAACTCCTCAAATGTCCAAACAATGGCTTCTTCTTCACTTGCCTCGACAAAATTGGCCTTGTTCACTTCACCATTTGATGTGAAGTTATTCTTCCTTTTGAAACATCTTTTATCCTTTGATGCCTTCTTCTTGTTCTTTTGTAAGTTTTTTATGACAACTTTTTTCCGCAACTGCTTGGTACTATTCCTTTCTTCTTCTCTCAAGTATTCTCGGTATTGCTTCATAGGAGCCTTAAGAAAATATATCATGGACTCGATAGCACTTCTCCACCCATGAATAGGAGACAAACAGCAAGCAAGAATACGAACACGAGTATTAAGAAATACATCAAACAGATCTTCATGATCATCAATGTTCATTCTTTTTGCATTACCAAATAAAATGATGTCTCCTAAACCATATGTGTCAAATTCCAGACCATCTCGTACATGTTGCATCAGCCTCTTTGTAACTCCCAACACAGCAATGTTCGTAGGAGCACAAGTCAAAGTTCTACATTTCATCTTTAACAAGACATATAGTAAGGAGGCAACTGTTTTAGTCTTCCCCGTTCCTGGAGGACCCCAAATTAGCTTAACCATATTCCGGTGAACACATTCTTTTGTTGCAATACAGCTTAGAACAGCCTCTTGTTGAGCACCATCTAGACCAAAGGACTGAATAATGGCACTTGAATTCGATAAAACATTAGTTTTAGATTCTGAGGAGGAGCAAAGGGAGCAGTCTACTTCATCCTGCAGATGATTAAAACAACAAACCTCTCAAAAGATCTTATAATATACCTTCAAAATGGCTATAAAAGAAAGGAACAAGACTAAGCAATGACACAAACACCTCTTTACATATACGTTTTAGAAACGATATATATATCAACAACAGACTAACACTACTTAAAAATGAAACGAAGTATAGAAAGTAGAGCCTCATGAAAACTACCACAATCACATATTCGATATAACTTACAAGCCAAATTGTAAATATGTAGTTAAGAAGAAGAGGGGAAACAAGATGTTTACTTACAGTAATTGGATTACTTTTCAGCACAGTGTTAATGATATTCAAGTTTGCATTTTCCATGTTCGGATTCAAAGCAGCCCATATTCGAAGATTTGTTGTTAAATTGGAAAGATAGACAACAAAAAGTTTGTCCCTTTTTTCACCCTTTGCATTCATGTCTTGTTTCTGAAATGAAATAGGCTTCGAAGACTGAATGTGTATCCGATATGAATCTTCATCTTTTATGTCATTGATTATGCCAATCAAATAAGATATCTTTGGTCTGTTCAAATCATCAATTCTTCTTGGTAACACATCTGATAGTGCAATCAAATCTCCGTTCATTGGTTTATACTTTCGTTCAAATTTCTTCCCCTCCATAGCTCTATTTACCAAAATATCATAATATAAACTTTTTGGAGGTTTAAAATATTTTGATTCTCTGACATCAAGAACCTCGAGTGCAGGGGCTCGTGAAACTGTGGTGATGTTTGAGAGCAAATCAGCATGTGTTTCTTCAATAAGTGGAGTGATGAATGACTTCATGTAATGATCAATCGATAAGAACGTCTCAGGAATCTCCATAACCTTACACATTTTGGGAACAAAAGATGACAAATCACAAACGAACTAGAGAAGACGAATGTTTCAAAATGAATATTTGTTTCAAATCAATATATGTTAAATGAGAATAGAGAAAGATAGAACAAGACTTGATGCCTTCCATTGTACAAAACTTTATGCATACTTGGCTCTTAGTCAGTGTAGTTATATAAGTGATCTGATTGTATAGATATTTTTCAACAATCATTAAACATAACTTAAAACACTATTCATAAATACTTCCAAGAAGAAGAAATATTCAAACCTTGTCTTTGTAAAGATCTTTGTTCAACACATCCCCTAAAGACCAAGAAAACACAAAATCTATCAACCCTGGGGGGCTTTTTTTCTCTGTTTTCTTTCTTGTAGTAGTTGTCAATGCCATTTTCCTAGTAGTCATCAAAACAAACAAAACATCAATTTTTTTTAGGATCTTCACACAAATAGTCGGACAGATTTACTATTTACTTTTTCTATCTGGTATACATAGACTATACACTGTCATACACATACTATAAAGGTAATAAATGAACTACACATATATTATACATCTTCCCTTGTAGTCATTAAAACAAACAAAAGAACAATTTTCTTATGGATCTTCACACAAATAGCCAGATAGATTTACTGTTTACATACACATATTATACATGAATTATACATGTATGACCATTTTCCCTAGAAGTCATCAAAACAAACAAAAGATCAATTTTCTTAGGAATCTTCACACAAATAGTCGGACTGATTTAGTGTCTACTTTTTTTCTAGTTGATATACATAAATTATACACTATTATACACATATTATACTAGATTATACAAGTATGACCATTTTCCCTAGTAGCCATCAAAACTAACAAATGATCAATTTTCTTAGAAATCTTCACACAAATAGTCGGACTGATTTAGTGTCTACTTTTTTTCTAGTTGATATACATAAATTATACACTATTATACACATATTATACTAGATTATACAAGTATGACCATTTTCCCTAGTAGCCATCAAAACTAACAAATGATCAATTTTCTTAGAAATCTTCACACAAATAGTCGGACTGATTTAGTGTCTACTTTTTTTCTAGTTGATATACATAAATTATACACTATTATACACATATTATACTAGATTATACAAGTATGACCATTTTCCCTAGTAGCCATCAAAACTAACAAATGATCAATTTTCTTAGAAATCTTCACACAAATAGTCGGACTGATTTAGTGTCTACTTTTTTTCTAGTTGATATACATAAATTATACACTATTATACACATATTATACTAGATTATACAAGTATGACCATTTTCCCTAGTAGCCATCAAAACTAACAAATGATCAATTTTCTTAGAAATCTTCACACAAATAGTCGGACTGATTTGATGTCTAATTTTTTTATAGTCGATATACATAAATTATACACTATCATACACATATTATACTGGATTATACAAGTATGATCATTTTCCCTAATAGTCATCAAAACAAACAAAAGAACAATTTTTTCTTAGGAATCTTCGCACAAATAGCCGGACTGATTTACTATCTACTTTTTTTCTAGTCGATATACATAGATTATACACTATCATACACAGATTATACTGGATTATACATCTTCTAGTAGTCATCAAAACAAAACATTATTTTTTTAAACATGCAAGAACAAATAGAAGGGAAAAATTACTGTAAATAATTAATTACCTTTTTCTTCTTCTGGGATTATGAGTTTTTTTCTCTTTGTGTTGGATTGAGGAGTTAAAGAGTAGTATATGACTACTAGCTAAGTAAATTTCCAAAGTAAATTAATTCATGGGTTGAAATAGAAAGGGAAAATTACGCGGTTAAGCAAAGTTATACTACTTAATTACTCATCATAGCTATAGTTTGCTGTAATTACCACTCGCGACTAACATTATACATTAATTACATGGGCTGACCACATTTGTATATGTATAATTCGCCAGAATATACAAATACATATGTATAATATACAAATATCTAATCGATATACATATACAATTCACCTCTCTCCCACTCCCTGCCCTCTCTCGCTCGCCTCTCTCCTCCCTCTCCCATTAAAACACTATTCATAAATACTTCCAAGAAGAAGAAATATTCAAACCTTGTCTTTGTAAAGATCTTTGTTCAACACATCCCCTAAAGACCAAGAAAACACAAAATCTATCAATCCTGGGGGGCTTTTTTTCTCTGTTTTCTTTCTTGTAGTAGTTGTCAATGCCATTTTCCCTAGTAGTCATCAAAACAAACAAAACATCAATTTTTTTTAGGATCTTCACACAAATAGTCGGACAGATTTACTATTTACTTTTCATATCTGGTATATATAGATTATACACCATCATACACATACTATAAAGGGAATAAATGAACTATACATATATTATACATCTTCCCTTATAGTCATTAAAACAAACAAAAGAACAATTTTCTTATGGATCTTCACACAAATCGTTAGATAGATTTACTGTTTACTTTTTCTAGCAGGTATACATAGATATCATACACATATTATACATGAATTATACATATATTACCATTTTCCCTGATAGTCATCAAAACAAACAAAAGAACAATTTTCTTAAGAATCTTCACACAAATAGCGAGACTGATTTACTGTCTACTTTTTTTTTCTAGTCAATATACATACATCTTCCCTAGTAGTCATCAAAACAAAACATTATTTTTAATTTTAACATATGCAAGAACAAATAGAAGGGAAATATTACTGTAATTAATTAATTACCTTTTTCTTCTTCTGAGATTATGAGTTTTTTTTTTTTGCTTTGTGTTGGGTTGAGGAGTTAAGGAGTATATGATTACTAGCTGAGTAAATTTAATTTCCAAAGTAAATTAATTCATTATGTATAGGAAATGTTGTACATGAAACAATAACGTGAAGTGATATTTTTTTTTTAAAAAAAAGTCGTTTCCTTTTCTTCATTGGAAATTAAAGAGATTTAAAAAAAATAATTAAGGTTCGTCTTTAATTTCCTTTGTTTCATTTTCTTTTCTCATTTTTCCATGGCTTGAACGGAATACGAATAGAATACTTGATACAATGACACATTAAAAAGCATTTAGTATTTCATTTTTTACCAATTGATTTGGCATACTTTTTTTTAAAAATTGAATGGCAATTTCACTATATTAACATTTTTAATATAATAAATTTAATGTTTCGAAAATGTATTGAAAAATAACTACATAATAAATAATAAGGATAAATTAGGACCTAAGTGAGAAATTATCTCTTGATTTTTTAAACTGGACAAGTAAAAACTTACATATATTTTTAAAATAGAATAGACGACAAATGAATTGTAAAGATCTTTGTTCAATACATCCTTTAAAGACCAAGAAAACACCAAATCCACTAAGCCAGGAATTGTTTTCTCTGGTTTCTTCTTTGTAGTAGTTGCCATTTTCCCCTAATAGTAATCAAAATTATACAAAAAAAAAAAATTAAAAAAAACAACAACATGTACATCATGATGATGATGATCAACATGCAAGAACAAATAGATACAAAATAAAAAAAAATAAAAACTTTACCTTTGTATTTCTTCTTCTTCTAAGATTATGATCTTTTAGTTACTAATAACTTTATATTATATTGAAGCAACAAAATATTCTCTACTGCTGCATTCAACAAAAATAATGAAAGTTTAGTAAAAATATATGTGGAAAATGACAAGTAACTTTAATGTAGAAAAATAATTTATTTCGTACAATCATATGATAAAAAAGGAGAAAAAGTGTGGAATAAAGATTATAAAGACCTTCAACAAGGTGGACTAATAGTCAACAACTAAAATAGATGAATAAAACAGAGAAATTACAAGGAAAACTTATAATATATAGTTTTTTTTTTCATTTTTTTGTTTGCCAAAACATAAAGGAAATTAAAGTTGTTAATATTACATGTTGGTGTCAATATCAGTGTTTTATACTGTACCAAAAGTGACAAAGATTCCAAAGGCTAAAAGGAAGAAAGAGGAAGATGATGAGAAGTTATAAGGAAGACTTAGAATTGAAGTCTTGAACTATATATAAAAGGGCAAATAGTAAGTCATCCTCCGTTCATTTTTATTTGTTCAATATTAATTTATCACGCACTTTAAAGAGCAATGAATATAATCAGTAGCAAAGTCAGAAATTCGTTAAGGATATTCAAAATTTAATATATACACATGAAAAAAAAAGACGACAAATAAACTAAGGTTACCGTATATCCTATAATTTTCAATATATTGAACAAATAAAAGTGGTCGAGATGAAATACTTAACATGTTACGACAAATTAACTAAGGTTACCGTATATTAAGACTTGTTAAGTTGGTAAGAATATAGTTAAAAGAATAGGTAACTTTACTTGGTAGTACACTAGTATACTAATATAAAATAATGAGTTTAAGGGTGTGTTTGGTACGAAGAAAATGTTTTCCTGTTTACAATTAGATTTTAGACTTATTTTCTCATGTTTGATTGGTGAGTAGAAAATATTTTTTCGGAAAGATTTTTTAGCGTTTGATTTATGAATGAAAAGTATTTTTGAGAAAATAACTTTTATTTTTACTAGAGAGTAGAAAATAATTTTTGAATTGAAATTGAAAATATTTTTAAAAAAATAACTTAAATTTTTTTTGGGGTGGAGTGTGGTGGTGGGGATGGGGCTGGCGTGCAGGGGCGGAGGGGGTAGGGGTGAGATGGGGTAAAAAAATAGAAATTTGAAATTGAAAATATTTTTTTCTTAGGAACTTCTATAGTCAATGGAATATATAGAATTGTGAACGGGTAGGGGGTGGGGTGGGGTGAAAAAATAAAAAATTGAAATTGAAAATATTGTTTAAAAACAAACTTAAATTTTTTTTGGGGGGGGGGGGTTGGTAGGGGTGAGGGTGGGATAAAAAAAATAAAAAATTGAAGTTGAAAATATTTTTAAAAAAATAAGTTAAAAAATTGTAATTTGAAGTTGGAGGAGAGTTTTGGAAAATGTTTTCCTTAATTTTTGAAGTGAAGTCATTTTCCTTAAATTTGATGAACATGGGTTGATTTGAAAAACATTTTCCAAAAGATTTTACCCAACCAAATATGAGAAAATTGGAAAACATTTTCCTCCATACTAAACACACCCTAAATTTGTTGAATTTATTGGAGACTCGTCAATGAAAAAGCTCGAGTATGATTTTGTGCGAAAGAAGAATGAAGAAGGTTAAAAATATTATGTTTTTCAGACATAAACAGAATCAGAATCACACGAGCCTTTATTTTTGGTTTTAGTTTTGTTTTTTTTCCATCTGTAAATTACAGTTTTCCTTTTCCAATTTTACTTTCATGTAAATAGTAGTTGGTTAATTAAGGTGTCTTGACTTTTACTTCCGTACAAATACTAATATGTTGTGTTGAGGTAGCTAATATATAGGATAGTTGGGTAGTTTTTCATTTGATTTTTTTGCTATATATACATGTAAGAGGAATAAACACAAGAAATATTCAGCACGTCTCTTTTATATATTTATTTTTGCAATCTTTCAAAATTTATATAATGTAAGTAACCTTCTATCATGTTGCACTTAATATGTTGATTCACTAACGAGGATAGAAATATACCATTTATCTTTGCTTAGTTAATGCAGATAAAATCTTAATACATTTCACTATTGATCGACCACTATAGAAATATATATATATAGGCGTTTGAGAGAGTCAAATAGTCTTCAAGTTATCAGAAAAATGGTAAATAAGTGATATTAACCTGCAACTAATAACTCAAAAAAAATACCTTTCCATCAACTGAATTAAACAAAAACATTTCTAGGCCTGCTATAATTTCAACAGTTTTCTACTCCCCCGTTCAAACAATAGTTGTCCACTATACTAAAAATAGTTGTCCAACAATACTTATTCAATTTAGAATATCAAGAGATAATTCACCTTTTGTGTCTATTTTATCCATGCTATTAAATATTATTTATCATCTAACACATTTTTCAAAGCATTAAATTTAATAGAATCAAAGGATCATATAATAATATTACCCCTATCATTTATTATTTCTTAAGGAGTGTGTCAAATCAATAGTGGACAACTATTATTGAACAGAGGGAGTAGTTAATTTTAGGACAACAACAATTCAATAGTTATTTGGTTCTTTTTCGAATTGTGAAATAAGAATTTGAATTAGACGATTAATCTTCCATGCATGTCTCTATAGGTATGATATTTGGAAAATTATTTATACATATTATGTAGTTAAGCCAAAACTACTAGGTTTTGCCGAAGCTGCAACTCCACCACTGAATGGCATTAGTAACTGTTATAACATGTTAAATTACACTAATGGTGCAACAAAATCGTTATATTGTCCAAGTACATAACTTGGACTAATTGATGGAATATGCGCGTTACAATTCTAGGAACCATGGTATGGAATTCACAATCAAATACTAAGACCTTCAAGTTGTATTTTATATAAGGTCTTTGCTACATTTTAAAGAGCAAGATGTCCATTTTACAAGCCAATTCACTTCAACAATATCATAACTATTAATTACAGTACTCTTGGACACCATCTCAGCAAACGCGCAGATTCAAAAACTAGAGGATCGTCACCAGATCAGTTGCAGTATTAACATGATGAAGGCAGTGAATTGCACAAAAAAACCAAGCTTTTCAAGCAACAAACTGCCAAGAAAAAAACAGAATTTAATGTTAAGAAAGTTCGTAGATAGTCAAACTAAGACAGTTAAATTGAAACATAACAAGTACGTAGTAGATATGACAATGTATTTAGTGTCACTCTTTTCTGTTTCATGTTTTACCTGTATTACGCGATGTTTAGACTTCTATTTGGACTTGTTGCGCATATATTTTTCCATGAAATCTTCAGCAAGTTGGTTCTGTTTTGATTCGCGGAACAGTTCTCCTTTCTTCTTCTTGGACTTTTGAAAATTACTGGTATAACAATTGAGTAAAGTTAGTAACTAGACTAATCTAACACAAAAAAAAACATATATCAGAGTTCTGTTTCAATTTTTTCGTGAAGTACTACTCACTTGGAACTTCTTGAAGATCCTGGTTTATCCCTCAAATTCATAGCTGCTAATTGGCGTGCCAAGTTGTCGTCTCGGTTACTGTGAGCTGAGGTTGTTGTTGAGACAACATTTCCATCAATTACCCAAGTCATTGGAAATACAAAGTTTCTGCAGAAAAATGAAGACTTGTGACTTGATACGAAAATTAACTAAGACGTGTACGTGGAGTACTAATTCGATAATCCTATAATGTACATGTATGAATCAGCAGAAATGTAGACCAGAGAAACAATATAAGACAGTTAGTACCGTTCCACACGTTTGTATTTGCATCGATTCATCATATCAACGGTATATTGACCAAAATGCATGTCGAGATTCTTTGCAAATTTTGGTATATGATTTCCTGGTAAAATGTTCCATATCTTTAGTACTTGAAGGTATGTAGAGCTCTGCTGCTGAATATCTATGGTCCAAATCAATTTTAGGTGCTTTACAACATACTCCTCCAACAGTACAGAAGAATTTCCGCCCTTGTTGCTGACCATGTTGTTCTTTTCTGGCTTACGCCAACCACTCGAAAGCTTCCCCAAAAGGGAAATCACTTCTTTACTTATCTCAACATCCTTAATTCTGGCAATGGATTTTGAGAAATCCTTACTAAATATAACCTGTTAAGTTAAAACAGCCAAAAACTCGTTATTTCTCCGTTTGCAAGCAGAACTAAAATATTCATATTATAGGCCAAATGAAGCAACATACCTTCCATTTGGCTGATTGAAATATAGGAGAATCTGTTTTGAGTAATGTTTCTAGCCGGCCAAGTTCAATGGTCGCGTTCAAAATTGCTTGATTCAATAGCTTGTCTTCAGTAACATCAAAGTAACAACCGCGAACCTTGGCATCAACGACCAACTTCTTCCATATGGAACCACTGTTAACCAAAGTTGTGCCATTTCCCAATATCCAAAGGCAGTACCTAGATAAGTATCAAAGTGAACAATTAAGAGTTCCGAAAATCATCCTTTATGTTCAAACATTTTGAAATGTAAAATGCTGTTCACCAAATTAGTACGTTGCTCGAGACAATGCTACATTTGCCCTTTGAAGATTCGAGAGGAAACCAACCGATCCATTGCCATTACTACGAACAGTGGATATAATTATCACATCCTCTTCACCACCTTGAAAACCATCAACGGAACGTACATTCACAGAGAAGTCACTCTTAACATCTGTGCTATATTTCTTGCCAAGAATTTGTTGAATAGCAAAAACATGAGCCTTGTAAGGAGATATACATCCAACACGGACTTTTTGTTTCGAAGAGTATTCTGTAGATAAAATAAAATTTATCAAGTATGCAAACTAGTTTGTTCATTCTAGGCAAAAACTAAATCCTTGAAAGATAAGCGCATTACCTTTATGATGGTTGGCAACTATCTCAGCTACAACGAAAGCTTCTGCCTTATTTCTCGAGCTATGTTTGTCATCATGCTCCTCATTTCTGATGTGGAAGTTCAGACTGTACTGTAACCACAGAGCATACTCAGATAAAACCTTGGCTCTGATACCAGTTTGTTGGGAAAATGCGGACAAACACAAAAATATATATGGTCAAAGTGATGGAAATAAAATGGGAAAATAATGATACCAAGAATTTTACGTGAAAACC